AGGTGGAATGCCAAAAATCATCCTGCGGAGGGGGCCAGCTCTTTTCCTTCGAGGATTGGGCTCTCAGAGCTTTTACCCTTCCCTCTCCCCCGCCTGCCATTATCTCAAAGGCAGGTTTTAAAGTTGTTCAGGGTTCTGTAGGGGAAGCAAGGAGAGATGCTCCGGCCAAAACCTGAGGCTTGACCCTGGCAGGAGGGCCTCGCTTCCCAAAGCGAGTCGTACCCCCGTGAGCCTGGTTTGCCCGTGCAATTAGAGACAAACACAAAGAGTTAAACAAAAATCTGTACAGTCTGATACCGAATTTTTCTGGATCAGATGCACAACCGCAGAGCTGCAATTGCATATACATATGCTGAAAAAATAGGACACTGTATTTCAAATTCAGCGTATTTGCACTTCTTTATTCCAAAATTATACAAAGATCAGAAAAAAGATTTTTTTATTGCAGCACGGCTTATGATTGGAAAGAAATCAAGATTTAACCTTTAGTGTTAGCTGCACAAAGGCAAGTCCAGTCAAACGCCTCCTGGACACAAGGACAGCCTTTAGGGCCAGGCCCTGTTTTTAGGGCAAGATTCCCAAGTCTTAAGATTCAGTGGACACAGGTTTCCTGCTTCTCGTTCCTCTTTGCACAGAGCACCTCCACGTTATTTACATGGACAGCCCTGATACTACAGGCAAAATCACTTCTCTGCATGGACACACAGGGCATACAGGTACACAAACAGGGTGTACGCTCAAAGGTCACAAAACAATTAAATTTTCTTATTAAACACAAAATGAATGACACTTCTGTAGAAGCTACAAATTAGGATAGGATTTTTTCACATCTGAAACTTCCAAGCTATGCAAAGCAACTACATCATCCTTAAAGGATGCTCTTAGTACTAGCACCGGTTCAAACGCTGGCAGCAGAACTGAAGTTTGATGATCACTTTAAAGAACTACTTTTTAAATGCTGCTTCTTCTCTAATGGTTACCGTACTTGGAAATTCAGCTTATAAAATTCAGGAAAATCGGAACGCAAAATATTGACAGCGGTATCTTATGCACACTGCAAAAAGGTAACCCTCTTCCTTCTACTGGATGCCTATCAGCAAAATGCCATCAAAGCCTAGACACTTGTCATGCCAAGTTCATCTGGACCAGTACTAAATACTTTAAAGTAGCAAAAGATCTGACTTTATCAGATCTAACCAGAATCAGGTAAGAGCTTTCTTTCTCAGTACATACTGTTCACTCCATTCTCCATCAGATGGATCAATGCCTTTAACGTCAACGATTATAAGCAGAAACAAAGGCAATAATAATACGCCCAGAATATTTTCATTGACTTACCCACATGGCATGGTCTGGTTGGGAAAGCATTTATCAGTTAGCTCCTACCCATCCATGCACCTATGAACATGACTTTTCCACACCTGCATGCACTACTGTAGTACCACGCTCTGATTTCATAAGACACAATGCATTGCTGAGTTGCAAAAAGCTTACTTTTAAGATATGTTCAGAATCTAATGATGGGTAGCACATAAACATGTGTAATCAATATTTAAAATACACGAATGCATACATACACATTTAAAACAGATTTTTCCACCCATATCCACATACAAATGCTTGCAAAGCCTGTTTTAAGAACCTAACACTTTCAATCACTGACAATTGGGTAAAATACAGTCTCAATAATAACCAGTGTCTAGAAAGAGCATATATGAAGCCAAATTCTCCACCCATCAAAAGCACAGAACATGCCAAAAACCACATTTGGACCACTATGAAGAAGTACAAAAACAAGCAAATGAATCAGTTAATAGTCAAACAGCTCATTTACGCACTCAAATGGGGCATAGAGCTATGACTGAATTAATTATAGGGCCGTAAAACAAAACACTACCTAGACAGAAAGCACAAGCATCATTGCTCCTGGTTCCCAGTGTCTTCTGAAAGTGATACATAATGGACACGATGACTTAGTACATTAAAAGACATTAACATTAAAGAGGACTTACTGCTATTTTTTGGAGAGTGGTTTTGACCGATGTCCATGTGTCCAATCTTCTATCCAGGATTAGGATAAATTTGGTGTCAGACTCATGTTGACTATGAGATAAGAAAATACCAAGTAATCAGATGATAACATTTTGAGGGAATATGACTTTGTTACCCAAAAAACCCCAAACCCAAGAACACAGAATGCAAACCACATTTTGACATTTCCACAGTTGCTGAAATTCCGTTTGAAAATATTCCCCTGAGCAGAATCCAGCAAGAAACTGGGGAAGCCCACCTTACGGTTAGCCCAGGGTTATGCATCACCTTTGCAATGGGCATTGAGCGGGAGATAGAGACAACAGGTTGCCCTTGAAACCCACATTGGGCTCGAGAAGGACTTTGCAGAGGTCGGAGGCAGCTGTGCTTCTGCTGACCAGCTCAGGGGCGGCCAGCAGCCTCCACCAGCCGCTGCCCCAAGATGCCCTCACCGCTGAGCTCTTCCCTCTGAGGGCGCTTGTTACCCGCTTGCCCGGGTTACAGCAACCAAGAGATGACTCCTGGCTTGTTTTGGCACAGGGCAACAGAGGTGACACTAACCCGGGGAAGGGTGATGCCAGCCTGGCAGGGGGAGAAGGGGAGTTGGTGCTGAAACAGGCTGTCGGGGCTTCCCCCGCACCTCCCGAGGCCCGGCTTGCGAGGCAGTGATTGCTAGGAGGCAATTTCCAGCACGCTCTGGTTCACTTTGCAAGCGCAGGCTTCCTGACATCCCTTTTCACACCCAAATCCTTTAAGTCGCTTTGAAATCCCCAGCCTTACCAAGCGAGCGAGCGAGCAGTACCGGGGATGCCCAGTCTGGCAGGTGACCTAACGTGCAGGTCAGCTCCTGTCTGTAATTCAAATATTGCCTTCCCAGGCTAGCTGGGTACAGCTCAGCCAGGCTCAACCCGTGACAATACACACTGAATTACAAACCGGAATCACGTTTGCACACAGGTAAGGGTACGCCAGCTTGTAACCAAGTCCTGTGATGTGGGTGTATTTACAGGATACTTAGGTAATATTTACAATATTTATTTTGCGGATGCTGAAACAGGATAGCCATGTCCCACGCCACCCTATCCGCGTGTCTCGGTGCTGCGGAGCGGCTCCCAGTTCACGTGCTGGCTCCCGAGAGCTGGGTCAGGTATCCGCACTGGGCACGGCCCCGTGCAGGCAGCCTTCCGCAAGCACCATCTTTGGTAATTCTTGTGTTTGGCAAGCGAAAACACATAGTGGATTACTCAGAAGTATCACATGGCAGACAATACTTGGCAACTTCACTACAGAAATAAAAGACACTTGAAGCCAGTGCAGGAGCTTTCATTCAATGCACATCTTGCTGCTCTGGTCTGTGATAGCCACACCTTTGACCAATATATTTAAAAGGAATCAGCAGTTGTGTTGAGAGAAAAAAAAAAATCCCTTTGGCTCATAATAACGATTGACTCCCAAGCTGTCCTACAACTGTATCTTATGGACCTCTAATGTCACACTCAAAGTGCAGAAGTTTAGTGCATATTTACACATTGCCATTGAGGCGTACCAGAAAAGAGCAGAGAAAGTGAATAGCAGATTTTACACGCGGGTCGTACACAGAACTTCTGCATGTAATAAAGTCTGAGGTTACAGATTGTGATCTGGACCAGGCATGACTTTTCAGCCAAAACCCTTTTTAGCTAAAATAGTTTTGGCAACATGAGACCATTCTGCAGGTCTCTGTCAGCTCTGTTTACCCCCACCACGAGTTAAATGACCCGGGCGGGTGGGAGGGGGGCAAAACGATCCTTTTGTTTGAGGTAACAATAAAACCCTTTGGTTTTTCAGCGCACCCTAAAACTTTAAAAGGTAGGTCTCTGTCCTATGAAGAACAATTCCCCAACACCCCACGGTATTTCCCCACAGGCTGCAATAAAAAAAAAAAAAAAGTGTTTACACAGCACTGCTGTCATTGTAATAAAACGTGAAGAAAAACCCCAGAATCCAAGTAATTTAGAAAAGGCAGCCAGACTGTAGTGCATTGTCAGTTAATAAAGGTATGCCAAAGTATGCCATTTACTCCGGACAAGGTTATATTCAGAAAGTAGCCTCTCAGCATGTTAATTTACTTTTATCAGTTCCCTTAAAGACACAAAGAAGAAAGTTCCCAGCTGCCCAAAAGCCTTGAAACATACTGTGGGAAATTTTTAATTTTTTCTGGGGCTAGTGGAGCAAGTCTGTGGGTATTTGCGACCCAGGCCTCGCAGGTTTATCAGATTTCCAGTCCTGCGATGTACCTTTTAGACTGACAATAAAAATAAACCAATGCTTTCCACCAAGGCTGCAAGGGGTGACTCCATTTGCATCCAGCAGCAGAAAGATGGAGACAGATAGCCAGATAGAGGATTATTTCTCTCCGGGTGCTTCTTGTCACTTTTTTTGCTTACCCTGCATTTTATATGTGTTGCAGGACGCACCAGACCAAAAGTAAAGACTTGGGATGTTTTGCAGGAGGACTTGAAACTGGATCCTGGAGTCTGCAGCTGTGAGATTTATCACAGGTCTGAGAGACTCCTTGCGGCTGGTGGGATCAGAGCAGGACCTGCTGCCTAATATTTAAATTCAGAGGTATTTATAGTCAACAGCACCCTTTGCTGTTTCATTACTCTGTGTCATCAGCCATGGCTCTGAATCACTTTGTACTTCACTTCCCGATCTAAGGGAAACATGCAGAGCTTGTCTAAATACTGAAAAGCTGGGTAGTCAAACAACATCACTCTTGGGGTCTCCTTTCTGCAAATACTGGGATCTGTCACACTTACCCGTGCCTCTCCTTCAAGCACACCATCGCAGAGGGCTGTTCAACTAAGCCAGCCCGAAGGCAGGCAGGCAGGCAGGCGGCCCCTCGCAGGCAGCCCACCGAGCAATTTGAGTTGGGTGTGCGGGGCATGGAAGGTGGGGACCTGCGACTTATTTTTTTGTACAGCTTTTCCATACAAGCACTTTCTGCAGCTGCCTCCTGCCTGCAGCATGGTTCCCAGGAATCCTAAAGTAAATTAACCTGCCTACGAGACTCATCTTCCTCCTGGCTCTGTTATTAATGCACTCACCTGGCAGAGCAACGAGTGGCTTACAGCATCTATCTCCTTTATCTAACAATTATTTCCAGGAGAAAAATGCTTCATGAAATTCACCTTCCCAAAATACTACAGACCTGACATCCCGTGAGGTTTCCTCAGACTAGCGTCAGTAGGACGAGATGTAGTCCTTGCTGCTGATTGCATAGGAAAGGCACCGTGCGTGTGGTTTTGATACGTCCATACCCATCCATAGGTATGTGGTAGGGAGGTGTCGGTGCATCCACAGCTAACTGACATGCAGGTCAAATATTTACCTCTTTTAGGGACTTTCTAGCCCAAAGCCTGAGCCCTGATACCATGCTGCGACGCCACCGAGGGAGACGTACCCAGGGGTACCACAGGCCCCACAGCCCTTCCACCCTCAATTACATGACGCTTTTCCTTGCTCCCTGACACCACAGCCTTTTCGACTCCAAAGTGTTAAAAAGCACATGTTTTTAAGATGGTCAGGTATTGAGGCAGGCTGTTATGGTGGTAGGAGGAGCAGAGAAGCATGATTAAAGTGGTTTTACTAATAACATGCTGAACATGTTTGAATCAGCAAGCTTGCAGCTCTCATTAGTTCCTTGATTGAGTTTGACCTATTACAGGGACAGCAAGACTGCTCATCATGCTAATGCCAGGGTGTTCACAGTCATATGAAATAAGAAGCCCTGGAGAAACGGGGCAGAGCTGGGAAGCACGGCTGCACAGATACGGGCAGCCCACACAGCAAGAAGGAGAAACCCCTCCGGCCGGCACACACCGTGGCACGCTCCTGTCCACGCTGGGACGGTGCTCTGTGGGCCAGGAGCCTACGAAACTTCAGAGTCCATCCAAAAAGAGGACAGAGGAACCAGAGGCCTTTTTTTTTTTCCTGCAGAGGCGGCTAAACACACGGTACTTCTTCCAAGGCAGCCGCTGACGGAAAGCTCCCATCTAGCTGCTGTCAACCTGCTCTCCGTGCAGGAAGAAATTTGCCAAAACAGGCATTATTCAAGGAAATTAAGCATTCCAGGTAACTGAGTCACCAGGCTCAGCAGCAAGAAATAGGAGGGCCATTAATCTAAGTATACAGCCCTGCATGTGGCACAGGCAGACTGTCAGCCACTTAACCCTGAGACACAGGCGGGTAATGGGAGCTGCAGCACGCTGCTGAGCCATCGCGTGTAATGGGGACCCCAAACAGTTTGTTCCTGTAATTAGTCTCTTCCTCTGGTTACATTTCTCTTTTTCCACAGTAATGACTCTCCATTTGTACATGTCAAAATACTATTCTGCAGTGGCATGGCATATTTAAGCAGTGACACATGTCAAAGCTTAAGGAAAGCTTGCTGTTAATTAGAAACTTAATAAACTAAATTTATGATACATGCAGGCTGACAAGTCATAGGGATGATGTCCACTTTTTACTCTGCAGTTACCGGCACTTTAAATACCACACCTGGACACCGTAAGGGCTTGCATCATTTGTCTTCTCCCTCTTACTTGCTCTGAGAGCTGAAGATGCCCCTCACCCCGACGCGTGGCATTACCCTGAAGATCCCCTGCCTGACCCAAGCAGGACCGACACCTCTGCCCATCACAGGCAAGAGCTAGAAGGGAGCCACATACCTTGGGACTGACGTTAGGTATGTTAAGACTTTAGATACGATCTCCTCAGGCACCTCATTGAAGCGAGCGTTGTCGGGGAGGGTGATAATCCAAGCCTTGTCTTTCCCTCGGCCACCTGGAAGAAAGACAAGGATGCTTCCCTGGGTGTGCTTTCGAGGAGGGCCAGCAGCAAAGCCCAGGTCCACCAGTCAGGTCAGAAAACACACTGCCATCGCTACAGAGGGTTTTTCACATCACCAGAAGAGCAAAACCAGGTCAAATCCTGCTGCCGATTTCAAGCACAACACACGCACAGCTGGTAGAAACAAACGTATTAGGTACCAGGTATTTCCTTTATTTACTGAGAGTACTTTACATAGGACAGCAAAAGAAGTCAGAAATACAAGGGCAAATCAGCACGCTCGTCCGGAACCTATAGAAATACATTTCAAAGCAAAACACTTGTTAATGCATTGAGTGTTTGAAGGTAAGAATATTTTACAGTATGGCTTGAGACAGAAACCTAATATGCTCTTTCAAACTGCCTCAATGTTTTATTAACAACATTTCTAGTGGCACTGGAGACTACCTGATGGATAATATCCCATATGGAGTATCATTTTGCCAAATAGCGCGGAAGTTCATCCAGAGTATTTAATTATTGCAGAGAGAGACCCTGGAGAAGTTCACCGTACTCACCAGAAAGAAAAGCAAACTCTTTCATCAAATCATCACTGATGTCCTTTGCACAGATGGGGATTGCGGTTTCTGGAAGAAAGCAAAGGCAGCAGTCAAAAAGGAAGCAAAAATCCAAAGCAAACACATTTATCAATGTGTTAACCCGAAGGTGGGACTCGAACCAAGTTCAGCTTCCCTAAATTATATATGAAATATTGTAACAAAGGATATATAGTTCTCCTAGAAACCAATGTTTCTAATGACTCTAACAGGGCAAATGCCATAATTCAGTAGCAAATGTATTCTATCAAATGCACCGAGGAAGAACTGCCTGGGAGCTTGAGTGCTCTTCCCTCAACAGAGTATATCCAATGTTAATATTTATAATTTGGAGTTACTAAATTCACTCCCCTATTTTGCAAACTCCCCCAGTGTCTCCTAGCCTTGGCAATACAATGGGCTGAGGTTTCTGCTGGGAACGGCACGGCAGCGTCCAAGGCTGCTGCACGGGGAACAAGGTTGGGTTTTCAGACTTTTATAGTCTTTAATTTTCAGCAAATAAGCTTCTGAAATCATGTTCTCATCTGGCATGGGGCCACATGCCCTGGAAAGGCTGTTGTTCTTGCGTCCAGTTATTAGATTTCTTTTTAATTAAATAATGGGAGAGGCTGTTTTAATACCATGTTTAGCACACTGACCATTTCAGTGGCAATGAAGCACATCGGAGCAATATACATGATCTTACCTTTCACTGGGAGAAGGAAACAAAAACCAGACTCAATAAACACAAGAGGAGCTTATAGCTGGCAGACATTTTTCTGGATTATCTATAAATGGAATGATACCTAAAAATTAAACATCCTTGTTCCTGCAAATAAATGTTTTAAAGCACATCTATACAGATTAAAGTCCTTGTGCTTTCTGATAATTAAATTTTAAACACTGATTATTTTACAGAGTTGGTCCTAGGGAGTAATCTTTTGGCTGTTTTAAATCACACGGGCTGCATACTTCAGCACACTCCAGCGTAATCAATATTTATTCTATTGCACTTCTTCCAAAAGCTTTCTGGGTCACTTCTACTTTGTCTAAGGATTTTTCAGGCCTTTAACCAGCTGTACGGAGCTGCAGCACAGCAGCCCAGAGGAGCACGAGGTGGGGGCTACTCTGCCTCCTGCAGTCCCCGCCGGCCGTGGGCTGCTCTCTGCTCTGCTAGGCACGTGCTGCTATTTTTTTCCTCTTGTAGATAAAAATGTTATTTTTGTTTGTTAAGGATCGAGCCTCAGTCCCACTGGCATCTACAGAAACATTCTTGATTTTAACAGGCCCCAGAATTGGTCTTGGTAAGAAAGAAGTTTGTTTTGCAAAGGTATTTCAAATATTTCTCTCTCATTCAACTGCTTCACCTAACTTGAGGACAAGCAGTAGCAATAGATTTCTCCTCTATTAGTTGATTTTTTTTCCAGGTCAATAGTTTCATACTGATAAAAATCACATTTAATAACTTAATGAGCTCCAACACATGAAGTAGATGATATTAAACGTGCGGGTCTTTGAAAATACAAGACAAAAGCCCACGGCTGTGCACACATATTTGCCTCAGAAGGGTGTGGGGCTGTTCAGCAGCTTGTCTGCATTTGCAGTCAGGGTGAAGCCTGTCCCCGAAGCCAGCTCACCTCGCCTACCCCTGCCAACCGCTTGCCCCGAAGATGCAGCCCCTGGCAAGCCAGGCAAAGTTTTGCCCTGCGCTATAATGCCTGCGCGTGATTCAAGTGCTCAACAGTAAAAGCAAACACAGCTACAGGTTTGCAGTAAATACAGCTTTTGTTTCTGGTTCTGCAGTGATATGGGAGGGAAATGCTGGTTTATTGACAGCTGTCCAGGGAACGGGCTGGGAAAAGGGGGTTAACCTTTGCATGGTTAAAAAAAAAAAAAAAAAAAAAAAATCACTTCGTTAAAAAGTTTCACAAGACATTTTCTCACTGAGAACAACCTAACAGTCTGCAGCATTAAACTAAGCTGGAGACAACCACGGCTGGAAAAAAAGTAGCATTTTTTCACAGATATTTTCAAACTTTGCTTTCCAGAAGAGAAATACAATCTCAAAAATGCATGCTTTAACCCAGAGTCTGGTGCTTATTCTCTCCAGTCTCTCTTAGCTGCAGTTTCCCAATGATCATCGTGGAAACTGCAAAAACCAACTCATGTTTTAATCCTACCTGTGCTGGGGGACTGCAGTAGGACCGCTATGCTGTGCCCTCTGCAAACGCGGGCGCAGGCGACCCCCGTCCCGCACAGCCCACCAGCTAAGCAAGTACCGTCAGGGCTATGCCAGCAGGTGGACCTGGCATTTTTGGGTTTGAGGTGCAAAGCACCATAGGACGGGGGGTTCCCACCACGCTCGGGAACGACCCGAGGAGGGACCAGCTTTGGGAGTCGTGGTTTCCAGTGAGGACCCTGCTCCCCAACATTTTATTCCACTGAAAGTTTCATCCTTGACTTTGGCACAAAGGTGGAGACCCAGATTTCTACAGCACCATGACTTATGACTTTGAGTTTCTCGCTTCCCAAGGGATGACATTTTTGGAAGAGGGCACTCAGCACCTTCAGAAAATCAGGCCCTTCCGAGCAGTCCCAAGTTGAGCACCCAGAATAACTCATTTGAGGAAAAACTAGGTGGCAGTGCTTTACTTCAGGCAGTGAAGCCTCGGCGAGCATTTCCCTTACAAACCCTCCCCGTCTCCTGTGGGGTAGGAGAATCCAACAAGCGACAGAGGAGCAGGACAGCTGCCCTTTGGTAAGGTCAAGGCACAACAACAGGCTGATTGTGGTCCCATGAGAGCCGCTCCTTGGCCAACTCATCGCTCGCTCTGCATTGGCCATCGAACTCAACCTCCTGGGCAAATGTTAGGGAAAATCAAGTGCTGGCATCGAATTCGCAAGTGTGTTGCTGTGCCTGCGGCACATCAGTTGGATGTTACTGTAAACCCTGTTCAGAAGCATGACCTCTGTCCTCAAATATTAATCTCTGGAAAAAGAGCCGTGAAAGGCGGTGGGGCACCAAAGATATCTGCCTCTCCAACAAGGCTTCAGTTGATGTTCGTTAGCAAACTGAGTATTTCTTATTTGAAGGACGCTCTTGGGACAGTACAGAAAAGACCCCAGGGTACTGCCCAGCACTGGCTATGAACAGTACAGCCAGCCTGCATCTCACTTGGCACAAGGCGGAGGAAGCCAAGGTTTCATGCAAGTCCACTCGTTTCTCTTAAAAAGAGGCTTTGTGATCATCAGCTACTATAGAATTAGAGCTGCTGTTACAAAATCAAGCCTGAACCCCCTGCGTTACAGCACTCCAGAGCACTTTACAAACTACATTGCTATCCCCACACAGTTGGTATGACCTCAGGCTTTAGGGTCTTACTAAAAACAAGCAGCATCTGGATGATAAATTGTCATTAACATTTTTTATATAGGCTGTAAGCTGGGTATTTATAAAATGCTGCTGCAATTATTACATTCAGAGACCCCTCTACGGAGGAGATCGTTGCCATGACACAGTTTCGGAAGATGTGTGAAGCCAAGCAGGGAAAAGACAAAGGGGAAACACAGAGTCTCTACCCCTCCAAGAAAAACTAATGTGGCTCAGCAGGGAACCCTGCTCAATCTGTCCCGTCCCCATCATTTGGTTTACACAGTCCAGAACATTTTGCTGGGTCCTCTCCATAGGACCGTATCTCAAGGCCGTTGCACAGACTGCAGTTGTAAGAACGATGCTTATCATTAGAGATCTTCCCTTTCGAGGCGATTCAAGCACAGCGGGACTTTCACATACGGTGGAGGTCTGCAGTAACATTCAGAGAGGGGACAGCTACAGTCCGAGTCCAAATTCCTCTCGTAAAACTCAATTAAACTCCGAAGTGCTTTGCTCTTTGGTAACTATTGTTTTTTCCTTTCCAAACTTCGCAGGCCCATGGCATCTGCAGACAGCAGCTGTGTAATGCATCTGCCAGGCTGATGTAATAGCCTTACACTTTGCAACACTGACCAAATATTGTTTGCAACTATAAAACCCATTTGGAGATGGCTTTGTTGTGAATAAAAACCAGCAGCTTTTCATGTGAGGGTTGCTGCCGTAGTCTAGGAAACAAAACTGAAGTAAATCAAATGAAAAGGGTAAAGGATCATGTTGAGCTTCTCCGTGATCTGCTTGTTCTCAGCTGCTTGTCCATTTGGACTTCTACACCCAATGAAGCAGTGTCAAGGGAGCCTGCAAATCAGCACATTTGTAACCTATTTCCATTTCCCACGGTGACTTCTTGGGCTAACTGGGGTCATCAGCCAGCATCTGTCTCAGGCCATCCCATCGCAGGAAGGCCCACCTGCCTCCAAAAGTTTCTTTGAGACTAAAGACACCTGTAACGCAGACCTACGTAAACCGTAGGCGTTTGCAGGAAGGTCCGGTGCTCGGGCAGTTTCAATGAGCAGGATTTGTCCCAGCTGCCACCGACACTCCCATCCGTGGCCAGCATCGGTGTGAGCCTCCCAGAACAGCTGATGGAGCACAAGCTAGGCTAGGTGCGAGGATTAAGCCATCCTCGTCTCATGTGCTTTGCGCAGGAGTGGGAACAGAAATCCCTTAGAGCAGAGTGCCCCAACCATGAACCCCGTGCAATGCAGAGAGCGGCCCTTTCAGCTTCTCCGGCTGAAGTTGCTCTGCTTTGCAAAATTAAATATTCATTGGGGCAAAGAATAGAAACACAGTCCTGTACCTGAGGAGAAAGACCAATGCACCGCCCTGCGATCTGTCCCCCTAACTCAGTCCGGATTGCTATACCCACTCAAAACACTGCAGGCACCCTGCAGCCCATCAGTCGGGGCACTCACTTTGGATAAGGGGAACAGTTTCACTTGAAATTTAATTATCTGCAAAAGCCAAAGAGCTCCTCCAGGGAGAATGATAGAAATCCGTCCCACAGCAGCGGTTGGGGCCACAGCTTGCTGCAGGAAACCTGAGTCTCCATCGCCCCGGTGCGCATCCTCGACGGTGAGCGGCTGAGCCTCACCCTGGTTTCTCACTGAGCAATT